TCGGCCCCGAATTCATTGTAAGGTAAATGAATGTAAATTAAACGAGTTATAAATGTACAACCAATTATGAATAGTTGTTTAAGATTCAGCTACTGGGAAGTAAAAGTTCGAATTAGCACGGGGAGGAGGAGGAAGGAGGAAGAGAGAACACACACACATAAAGAACACAGCGATCACCACCACCAACAGACCAACAGATCAAATCCTATTACCCCCCCCCCCCCCCCCACCCACCAGAGTCAACGCACATAAGATAACTATCACTAAACCAATACCTGTCATTGCTGAGTCAGTTCCACACCAGCCACGTTGACGAGCAAGAATGACCAATTTGTATAGTTGTTGTCCTTGCTGTCCTTGTTGTCCTTGTTCCTGCTGTAAATCTAGCGTGACCCAACATGTGTTTTTGTTCTGGTACGCGGCCGTAAGTGTGTTTGTTGTTGTTGTTGGTGTGGTGGTGGTGGTGGTTGACGCCCGCGGTCATGTTCTCAACCCAACTACCCTGTGTTCCCTTTCTTCTGTGACAACCAGGCTGTGGTGGTGTGGTTTTGGTGTGGTTGTGGCTGTGGTGGTGTGGTTGTGGTGGTGTGGTTGTGGCTGTGGTGGCCAGGCTGTGGCTGTGGTGGCCAGGCTGTGGCTGTGGTGGTGGCCAGGCTGTGGTTGTGGTGGTGGCCAGGCTGTGGCTGTGGTGGCCAGGCTGTGGCTGTGGTGGCCAGGCTGTGGCTGTGGTGGCCAGGCTGTGGTTGTGGTGGCCAGGCTGTGGTTGTGGTGGCCAGGCTGTGGTTGTGGTGGTGGCCAGGCTGTGGCTGTGGTGGCCAGGCTGTGGTTGTGTTGGCCAGGCTGTGGTTGTGGTGGCCAGGCTGTGGCTGTGGTGGCCAGGCTGTGGCTGTGGTGGCCAGGCTGTGGCTGTGGTGGCCAGGCTGTGGTTGTGGTGGCCAGGCTGTGGTTGTGGTGGCCAGGCTGTGGTTGTGGTGGCCAGGCTGTGGTTGTGGTGGCCAGGCTGTGGTTGTGTTGGCCAGGCTGTGGCTGTGTTGGCCAGGCTGTGGTTGTGGTGGCCAGGCTGTGGCTGTGTTGGCCAGGCTGTGGTTGTGGTGGCCAGGCTGTGGCTGTGGTGGCCAGGCTGTGGTTGTGGTGGCCAGGCTGTGGTTGTGGTGGCCAGGCTGTGGTTGTGGTGACCAGGCTGTGACGTGACGGCTGGGGAATGTGACAGATAGAAGACACCTAAGCCGTAACATAAACCCCCCCCCCGAAGACGTGTCCCATAAAGAGTTAACTTGCCACTACTCTGAAGAATCAATATCTGTCAATTTTCTTCCCCAATCCTCGTAGGGAGACAGACAAAGATAGACAGAGACGAACTGACAGACTGACAAGAACACGAATGCGATGAAGAGAACGTGATCGAGAGCGTTTATTTAAATTCCTATCGTTCAAAAATCCTTGAAAAATCGCGTTCATTTCCCCCCGAGAAGTAATGAGACATATTCACTAATGAAAATGTTCACTTTCTTCCAACATTTAAAGCAATGCCCAACACGAAAGACCTGTTTGAGCTCGATTAAGAACTCATGGAATGGGCTCTCAAATCTCCTGCAGAGTCCAGTACTTGTTCAGGCGCTCAATTGCTCACTTCAGAGGCGCTCTCACGGGCGCTTACCATGCTTAGAACGAAGTGTCCGTGTAGCGCGGGCTATGGTGAGCCCGTCGGCGCGCTTAAAAACGAGCGCGCGCTCTCTCTCTCTCTCTCTCTCCAGCTGAGGTACTCACTAACAAGGGCCCGGCCACCCCAGCTAAAGATACGGCCCCTGGCAGTAACCTGGCCATACTCAGGAACGCGACCCCTTACCCCCGTAAATCTCTGAGTAAGTGAACAGTACTTCGTTGTGGTGCTCCCTTCTGGTAAGGGGTGACGCCCTTGCCAAAGCTCACTGGGAACTGCTGTACACACACACACACACACACACACACACACACACACACACACACACACACACACACACACACACACACACACACACACACACACACCAACCAACCAATCAACCACACACACCAACCAACCACACACACCAACCAACCAACCAACCACACACACCAACCAACCAACCAACCAACCACACACACCAACCAACCAACCAACCAACCCACACACACACCAACCAACCAACCAACCAACCAACCACACACACCCACCAACCAACCAACCACACCCACCAACCAACCAACCACACCCACCAACCAACCACACACACCCACCAACCAACCAACCACACACACCACCAACCAACCAACCAACCAACCACACACACCAACCAACCAACCACACACACCAACCAACCAACACACACACACACACACACACACACACACACACACACACACACCACACACACACACACACACACACACACACACACACACACACACACACACACACACACACACACACACACACACACACACACACACCAACCACACACACACACCAACCACACACACACACCAACCACACACACAAACCACACACACACACACACACACACTCACACTCGAGAAATAAAGAAACTAAGTTTCAGTTTCAAATATAGATGATAGATCCCAGTAGGCTCGGTAACCTGTACACCAGTTGATTGACAGTTGAGAGGCGGGACCAAAGAACCGAAGCTCAACCCCCCCCCCCCGCAAACATAACTAGGTGAGTACACACTCACTGAAGGAGAGATAGGAGTATATATAACACTATATAAGATTCTAAGGGAAATAGGGTAGACAAAGCAGCTTTATTCAAAGCTAGAATGAGGTGGCATAGAATGAGGTGGCATAGAATGAGGTGGCATAGATGGGGACTCACTCAACACGCAAATGAGCCAAAGAGACGTACAGAAAACAGCTAAACCTGTCAATATGTGGAACAGAATAAGCGTAGAAATCTTTGAAGCTAATCTGATTCAAAATTTTAAATGTATGATAAAAAGCGTGAGTAATGCGTCATTGTATTAATCGAAAAGCGTTCGGCAGGCGGGGGCAAGGAGCTTAGCTCGACCCTGTAAGCACATCTACCTTTGCTATGATGATTTCGGGGTTTAGCGTCCCCGCGGCCCGGTCCTCGACCAGGCCTCCTGGTCGAGGTAAATAAATCCAACATACTGTGCATTGGGATATATATATAATGTCCCAATATACTCTCCCAATATACGATATATAACATACAAATATATCTCCTAATCTTCAAGCACCTGAGCTGAGAATGAGATAAGAATTTATGATAACCTGCAACACTGAAGGACCTGATTAGTTTATCACAAACTAAATCAAAACAAATACAGCGTGATAATTATTTTATACTGTGTGTTTACCTTTATATTGAGAGGTGTCGCTGTAGCTCCGCCTACGTTGTTATCCCTGACCAATCGGGGCGCAGGAGCTTATCTCTGAGCTCTTATGGGTTACCGGGATCACGGCAGGCTGGCCAATGAGCGAGCGAGCTCGTTATCAGCGTCCCATTATGGCCCCCAGCACCTTTGTCCCATACATCAGGGTTGTGCTGTGGTCTGGCCACACAGCTGACCTTAACTTCAGATACAACGACGTAAGGTGTATTTCCTTGGCTAAGTGGGAGGCGTGGGAGAGGGACTGTGGGAGGGTAGTAGCATGGTGAGGGTGTGTGGGGGGGGGGTGTTATGGGGTGGGAGAGGAACTGTGGGAGGGTAGTAGCATGGTGAGGTTGTGTGTGGGGGGGGGGTGTTATGGGGTGGGAGAGGGACTGTGGGAGGGTAGTAGCATGGTGAGGGTGTGTGTGGGGGGGGGGGTGTTATGGGGTGGGAGAGGAACTGTGGGAGGGTAGTAGCATGGTGAGGGTGTGTGTGGGAGGGGGGGGGGGGTGTTATGGGGTGGGAGAGGGACTGTGGGAGGGTAGTAGCATGGTGAGGGTGTGTGGGGGGGGTGTTATGGGGTGGGAGAGGAACTGTGGGAGGGTAGTAGCATGGTGAGGGGTGTGTGGGGGGGGGGTGTTATGCGGTGGGGGAGGAACTGTGGGAGGGTAGTAGCATGGTGAGGGTGTGTGTGGGGGGGGTGTTATGGGGTGGGGGAAGGTCTTATGGGGAGGGGGGGAAGGTGTTATGGGGTGGGGGAAGGTGTTATGGGGTGGGGGAAGGTGTTATGGGGTGGGGGAAGGTGTTATGGGGTGGGGGAAGGTGTTATGGGGTGGGGGAAGGTCTTATGGGGTGGGGGAAGGTGTTATGGGGTGGGGGAAGGTGTTATGGGGTGGGGGAAGGTGTTATGGGGTGGGGGAAGGTGTTATGGGGTGGGGGAAGGTGTTATGGGGTGGGGGAAGGTGTTATGGGGTGGGGGAAGGTGTTATGGGGTGGGGGAAGGTGTTATGGGGTGGGGGATGGTTGTGGGGACTCCTTACAGGAACACGAGCAAGAGAGAGAGAGAGAAAAAATATAGGTTGTGTACAGCAATTTCAGTTTCTCTGTATAGGAGGAGGAGAATGTTTACCTCTAATACTTGAGTTAGGCTTCTGATGGAGTTATCTTCTTGAGGTTATCTTGAGATGATTTCGGGGCTTTTTAGTGTCCCCGCGGCCCGGTCCTCGACCAGGCCTCCACCCCCAGGAAGCAGCCCGTGACAGCTGACTAACACCCAGTTACCTATTTTACTGCTAGGTAACAGGGGCATAGGATGAAAGAAACTCTGCCCATTGTTTCTCGCCGGCGCCTGGGATCGAACCCAGGACCACAGGATCACAAGTCCCGCGTGCTCCCGACCGGCTTCTGCCTTCTCTAGCTCCCCCTTCATTGTGTATTGCTGCCAGACCCTCCTCGCTCCTCTTACTATCCTCGCTCCTCTTACTATCCTCGCTCCTCTTACTATCCTCGCTCCTCTTACTATCCTCGCTCCTCTTACTATCCTCGCTCCTCTTACTATCCTCGCTCCTCTTACTATCCTCGCTCCTCTTAACTATCCTCGCTCCTCTTAACTATCCTCGCTCCTCTTACTATCCTCGCTCCTCTTACTATCCTCACTCCTCTTACTATCCTCGCTCTTCTTACTATCCTCGCTCTTCTTACTATCCTCGCTCCTCTTACTATCCTCGCTCCTCTTACTATCCTCGCTCCTCTTACTATCCTCGCTCCTCTTACTATCCTCGCTCCTCTTACTATCCTCGCTCCTCATACTATCCTCGCTCCTCTTACTATCCTCGCTCCTCATACTATCCTCGCTCCTCTTACTATCCTCGCTCCTCTAACTATCCTCGCTCCTCATAACTATCCTCGCTCCTCTTAACTATCCTCGCTCCTCTAACTATCCTCACTCCTCTTAACTATCCTCACTCCTCTTAACTATCCTCACTCCTCTTAACTATCCTCACTCCTCTTAACTATCCTCACTCCTCTTACTATCCTCACTCCTCTTAACTATCCTCACTCCTCTTACTATCCTCGCTCCTCTTACTATCCTCGCTCCTCTTAACTATCCTCACTCCTCTTAACTATCCTCACTCCTCTTAACTATCCTCGCTCCTCTTACTATCCTCACTCCTCTTAACTATCCTCACTCCTCTACCTATCCTCACTCCTCTTAACTATCCTCACTCCTCTTAACTATCCTCACTCCTCTTAACTATCCTCACTCCTCTTAACTATCCTCACTCCTCTTACTATCCTCACTCCTCTACCTATCCTCACTCCTCTTAACTATCCTCACTCCTCTTAACTATCCTCACTCCTCTACCTATCCTCACTCCTCTTAACTATCCTCACTCCTCTTACTATCCTCACTCTACCTATCCTCACTCCTCTTAACTATCCTCACTCCTCTTAACTATCCTCACTCCTCTTAACTATCCTCACTCCTCTTAACTATCCTCGCTCCTCTTACTATCCTCGCTCCTCTTAACTATCCTCACTCCTCTTACTATCCTCACTCCTCTTACTATCCTCGCTCCTCTTACTATCCTCACTCCTCTTAACTATCCTCGCTCCTCTTACTATCCTCGCTCCTCTTACTATCCTCGCTCCTCTTAACTATCCTCACTCCTCTTACTATCCTCACTAACTATCCTCACTCTTAACTATCCTCACTCCTCTTACTATCCTCACTCCTCTTAACTATCCTCGCTCCTCTTAACTATCCTCACTCCTCTTAACTATCCTCACTCCTCTTACTATCCTCGCTCCTCTTAACTATCCTCGCTCCTCTTAACTATCCTCACTCCTCTTAACTATCCTCACTCCTCTTAACTATCCTCGCTCCTCTTACTATTCTCACTCCTCTTAACTATCCTCACTCCTCTTAACTATCCTCACTCCTCTTAACTATCCTCACTCCTCTTAACTATCCTCACTCCTCTTAACTATCCTCACTCCTCTTAACTATCCTCACTCCTCCTAACTATCCTCACTCCTCTTAACTATCCTCACTCCTCTTAACTATCCTCACTCCTCTTACTATCCTCGCTCCTCTTACTATCCTCGCTCCTCTTAACTATCCTCACTCCTCTTAACTATCCTCACTCCTCTTAACTATCCTCACTCCTCTTAACTATCCTCACTCCTCTTAACTATCCTCACTCCTCTTAACTATCCTCACACTCCTGCATTTTGTCTGGATAAAATATGAAGCGTTAATTGGTCAAATTCCCCTGGAGTGTCTAGTTCATTTGACAACGTATTGTAGTTGACCACTGTTCAGATTTTCCTCATAATGTTTATAATAAATTTTTTATCAAGAGATAACAGAAATTGTAGCAATCGGTGTTCGAACGTAATGCAATGGCTCCCGTATCTTTTGACGTGGCATGTTGATTTTGAACTTACGTTTAATAGTCTCTTCCTCCTTCTCCTCGATCATTCTATTTGCTTTCTACTTTTATATTAATTATATATTTCCTAACATTCTTATGGTTCATCCCAGCACTGCTTGCTCACCACCACCACCATATTGTGCTGCTGCTGTTCATAGAAAACGGCTAATCTTTTGTCTAATTCTTAAATCCATTTCAAAATCCCGCGAATCGTATGTTCCTAATCACCTTCTATGAAATAAGAGCTTTGGCTGCATTTGCCAGTGATAGAGCGGCTTCGTGACTGCCAGACCTTATTATGATTTAATAAATAAGAGGATGAGGTAAGGTCGATCAGAAGAAAACTAAAAAAAAAAATAGCCACTATGTACCACTTAGAAGTATGAGAGCAGAGAGGGAATGTTGCCCAACCACTTAAATCATCGTGGGTTGAAGACAGAAAAAACGCCCTATTGGCCAAATCAAATGGATGTACGTTTGGTACATAATATGTACATTTTGTTCCTCCTGTTGCCTTGATCTCAATCGCCAAGACATATAGATAACCTAGCCACAATCCGCACGTCATTTGGGTTTCTCACCAGATGGTTTCTATATTTAGTGTGGAGTGTACACAGGAATATCGGTGAGCACAGGAACATTGGTGTACACTGCCTGGTACACTGCCTGGTACACTGCCTGTACCAGGCAGGTGATGGGGGTGAGTTACAGATCCCAATCTTGACACCAGACAAGACTGGGATCAAGGCATAAAGTCTCTACGTGTTCCTTCACTTGCCAGCGTGTCTGAAATTTGACTGTTACAAGACCTCCCCGTGACTAATGAGCAGGTTAATTGTTACAGTGTTCGTCACAGCTGAAATGTTTGAGGCAGAACTGTAGTGATTTTAGTTTACATTATCTGATGGCTTAAAAGTTTCTTAGGGTTTAAATTATCCCTTTCCAGAGTTTACAAATAGATTATTATGCTTTTTATACTTGTTTAAAACACATGAAAATAAATGGAAATAATAATAATATAATATAATGAGGTACAACTATACCTCAGCCAGAGTGTTTTGTTTAAACCCAGAGTGTGTGAAACCCTGACTTGGGTTCGAAACATGCCCCAGGAACCATAGAGGATTCGGTTGAATGCCAGATTGTATTACTTTTGCTGCATGTTCACTGATGCATCACGTAAATGTGATTATTTTGTGCAAAATTCAAAGATCAACAAGGACTCCAAACCTGTGCATAATTGATCAACAAAGACTCCAAACCTGTGCAAAATTTATCAACATGGACTCCAAAACTGCAAATTGATCAACAAGAACTCCAAACCTGTGCATAATTGATCAACAAGGACTCCAAACCTGTGCATAATTGATCAACAAAGACTCCAAACCTGTGCAAAATTTATCAACAAGGACTCCAAACCTGTGCATAATTGATCAACAAGGACTCCAAACCTGTGCATAATTGATCAACAAGGACTCCAAACCTGTGCAAAATTCAAAGATCAACAAGGACTCCAAACCTGTGCAAAATTGATCAACAAGGACTCCAAACCTGTGCATAATTGATCAACAAGGACTCCAAACCTGTGCATAATTGATCAACAAGGACTCCAAACCTGTGCAAAATTGATCAACAAGGACTCCAAACCTGTGCAAAATTGATCAACAAGGAGTGACAAATAGAGAGAAATAACTGAACAGTCACAACTGACAGTAGTTGAATAATTAGCAACTGCAGGTACTGTGTGCGTGACCAGCTGAGAGGAACCAACCAACCAACACGTGACCAGCTGAGAGGAACCAACCAACCAACACGTGACCAGCTGAGAGCAACCAACCAACACGTGACCAGCTGAGAGGAACTACCAACACGTGACCAGCTGAGAGGAACCAACCAACCAACACGTGACCAGCTGAGAGGAACCAACCAACCAACACGTGACCAGCTGGGAGGAACCACCAACCAACACGTGACCAGCTGAGAGCAACCAACCAACCAACACGTGACCAGCTGGGAGGAACCACCAACCAACACGTGACCAGCTGAGAGCAACCAACCAACCAACACGTGACCAGCTGAGAGGAACCAACCAACCAACACGTGACCAGCTGGGAGCAACCAACCAACCAACACGTGACCAGCTGAGAGCAACCAACCAACCAACACGTGACCAGCTGAGAGCAACCAACCAACCAACACGTGACCAGCTGAGAGGAACCAACCAACCAACACGTGACCAGCTGAGAGGAACCAACCAACAACCAACCAACACGTGACCAGCTGAGAGGACCAACCAACCAACACGTGACCAGCTGAGAGGAACCAACCAACCAACACGTGACCAGCTGAGAGGAACCAACCAACCAACACGTGACCAGCTGAGAGGAACCAACCAACCAACACGTGACCAGCTGAGAGCAACCAACCAACCAACACGTGACCAGCTGGGAGGAACCACCAACCAACACGTGACCAGCTGAGAGGAACCAACCAACCAACACGTGACCAGCTGAGAGCAACCAACCAACCAACACGTGACCAGCTGGGAGGAACCACCAACCAACACGTGACCAGCTGAGAGCAACCAACCAACCAACACGTGACCAGCTGGGAGGAACCACCAACCAACACGTGACCAGCTGAGAGGAACCACCCAACCAACACGTGACCAGCTGAGAGGAACCACCAACCAACACGTGACCAGCTGAGAGGAACCAACCAACCAACACGTGACCAGCTGAGAGCAACCAACCAACCAACACGTGACCAGCTGAGAGGAACCACCAACCAACACGTGACCAGCTGAGAGGAACCACCAACCAACCAACACGTGACCAGCTGAGAGGAACCACCAACCAACACGTGACCAGCTGAGAGGACCTAACCAACCAACACGTGACCAGCTGAGAGGAATCACCCAACCAACACGTGACCAGCTGAGAGGAACCACCAACCAACACGTGACCAGCTGAGAGGAACCAACCAACCAACACGTGACCAGCTGAGAGGAACCAACCACCCAACACGTGACCAGCTGAGAGGAACCACCCAACCAACACGTGACCAGCTGAGAGGAACCACCAACCAACACGTGACCAGCTGAGAGGAACCACCAACCAACACGTGACCAGCTGAGAGGAACCAACCAACCAACACGTGACCAGCTGAGAGGAACCACCCAACCAACACGTGACCAGCTGAGAGGAACCACCAACCAACACGTGACCAGCTGAGAGGAACCAACCAACCAACACGTGACCAGCTGAGAGCAACCAACCAACCAACACGTGACCAGCTGAGAGGAACCACCAACCAACACGCAGGTGTCTGGGTTCCCCGCGCAGACAGGAGCAGAGACAAATAGCCACATCGGTAATTCTTTATTTAATTCACGCCTGGTTGTGTG